CTCCATCGTCGTGATGAAAAAAAGCGTTCAGGTAAGATAACGCTCTATCTAGGGTGTTAGCTATTCCTGCCAGCTTAGTATCATCCGCAAATTTGGTAAGTTCCCCTTCTATTCCCTCATCTAAGTTGTTTGTGAAGATATTGAAGAGTACTGGGCCTAAGATGGATCCTTGTGGTGCCCCACTGCTTACTTCCCTCCATGTAGATGTAGACCTATTAAAGACTACTCGTTGAGTACGGTTTGTCAACCACTTATGAATCCATCTGGTAGTGATCTTATCCCACTTTTTTCTAGCTTACTAAGAAGAAGGTTGTGATCTACTTTGTCAAATACCTTGCTGAAGTATACCTTGCTGAAGTTTAAGTATGTTATGTCCACGGTATTTCACTGGTCTATTAATCCAGTCACTACGTTGAAAAATGAAATAAGATTGGTTTGGCATGATCTGTTTTTTAACAAACCCATGGTGACTGCTAGTTATTACTTTCCTCGTTTCTAGATGTTGGCAGATCTGTTTTTTTTATTATCTTTTCCAGTATCTTCCCAGGTATTGATGTTAGGCTGATTGGTTTATAGTTTCCTGGGTCTATTTTTTTCCCTTCTTTGAAAATGGGAACCACATCAGCTCTTTTCCAGTCCTCTGGTAGTTTCCCGGTGCTCCAGTTTTTGAAAGATTTGGTACAGTGGTTCTGCCAGCTCCTTTAGAATTCTGGGATGTAATATATCAGGTCCCAGTGATTTGTATTCATCAAGATCAGACAAGTGTCCTCTTACCATTTTTTTTGCTTATTTTAACTTTTATTTCGAGTCTGTCTTTTACAGTTATGTTTTTGGTGGGTTGAGCTATAATTTCTTTTTTGTCTGAAGACCAATGCAAAGAATGAGTTTAGCAGCTCTGCTTTCTCTCTGCTGTCTGTTACTTCTTTGCTGTTTTCTCTGTTTAGTGGACCAACTGTTTCCTTGACTTTTTTCTTGTTATTTATATGTTGGAAGAAACTTTTTTTTATTATCTTTTACTTTTAGTGCAAGTCTTTTTCATTCTGAGCCTTTGCTTTCTTGACTTTGTCTTTGCAGATTCTGGCTATCTGCTGATATTCTGCCTTAGTTATGTGTCCCTCTTTCTATTTTTTGTACTTGTCCTTTTTGCCTTTCAATTTGTCATAGAAATCTTTGTGCAGCCATGCTGGTTTCTTCTTGGATTTCTTTTTCAGTGGTATTGTGCTGGACTGGGCTTTTATGATCATATTTTTCAGAGTTTCCAAAGTTCTCTCTGAGTTTGTCAAAATCAGCTCTTTTAAAATCTAAGACTCTGATATCATTATGTTCTATTAGTTTTGCTTGTGTTATGTTGAATTCTAGTATGTCGTGGTCTCACCCAAGGTTCCTGCAGTTTCATCTTCCTCTATCACTTCTTCTGTGTTTGTAAGAATTAAGTCCAGTATGGCTGTCCCTCCAGCTCCCTCCTCTACCTTTTGGATAATAAAGTAGTCAGCTAGATTGGTCAGGAACCTATTTGATTTCTCACTTGGTGCAGAATTAGTCTTCCAATTGATGTCAGGATAATTGAAGTCCCCCATTACTATTGTAGTGTGTTTCCTACATATTTCATCCCACCAAGTTTCTGTAATCCCAGCTATATCAGGAGTCTGCAACCTTAAACACCCAAAGAGCCATTTGGACCTGCTTCCCATAGAAAAGAAAACACCAGGAGCCACAAAACCTGGGTAGGTGTGGCCAACACAATGTCACTCACTCCCACCAGATCACATGACACACCCCCAGCCACACCTACCCAGGTTTTGTAGCTCCTGGTATTTTCTCTAGAAAACAGGTATCTTTCTCTCGCTCTTCCTCTCTCTCTTTCTCTCTCCTCTCTCTCTCATCTCATTGTGATGTCCCGGGGCATGGCACAAAGGCAACACAGTCACATAAGTAAGAGTCCCTTTAGTACCTCCAACTTTGCCCCCAGTGTCCAGTTACCTTCGGCTGGAGAAAAAACTCTCCCAAGAACAGTCTTTCAGTGGAGGAAATTCAGTCCGAAAATGAAGTATATACAAATTGTAAATAAAAATTCACACAAACTATGCTGCAGTAATTAACTTGACATGGCAGGAGAAGGAATTGCAGACTTGAAAGTCTAGCAAAACACACACAGTTGGAAAGATGCCAGGAACACACATAAGCCACAACAATTAAAGATAACTCATAATTTGCTTCCAACAATTTTGCTGTGCGTAGCTTCCCTTTTTAAACACTGTGTTCCCAGCTGCAGCTAATTAAGGGAATTAGGGCCCTTTCCTCCCCCGTAAACCACGCAACTCACGTTACTCCCTTCTCCGTTCCTCCCTGTGTGCCCTAGGATGAAGAGGGGGTGGGCCTGGGTCTTCCTCTGAATTCCCTCTGTCTTGCTCTACCTCTCCCCTGCTCTACCCAACCGGACTTTGCCCTTCCCCAGTTTCTTCCACAGCCACACTCCAACTCCCTGTCAGCTGCTTGACCTCCCCCTCAAATCAGATTCTGAAGGGAATGACACTCATCTGCGTCTCATCTCTTTCTTTCTCCTTCTCTTTTTCCCTCTTTCTCCTTTCTTTCTCTCTCTGTCATCTGTCTCTTTCTCCCTCTCTCATCTCTCATTTGTCTCTCTGTCTCTCTCTCATCTCTCTTTCATCTCTTTCTTTCTCTATCTCATCTCTCCTTCTCCCTCCACCTTGTGTGTGTGTGTGTGTGTGTGTGTGTGTGTGTGTGTGTGTTCCCTCTTGAACCATTTCCAAAAATAGGCAAGAGTTGGGTTTTGTTTTTGTTGATGTTCTTTCTTCTTTGGGTGCTTTTTACCATATGATTTAAATCAAGAGTCATTTCAGGTTCCCAGATAAATGAAGCTCTTTCGTCCCCCTGCTGTGGCTCCCTGTTGGCTGAATCCACTACTGGCTGGCCCCACCCTCACTCTCCCCTCGCAGTCACTCCTCGCCTGCTCTGAGAAGAGAAGGGCAATGGTGGCAGATGGAAACTCTCTCTGTATTCCAGAGCGGGAGTGGTGCCCCTCTACTTGCCTCTTCTTCCGGCCCTTCTTTGTACTGTGTGTACCAGGGAGACTCACAACTTTCTCTCTGCCCCAAGACACTAGCTGGGCCAGCTGCAGCTAATGCTCCACGTTGTAATGGGCTTCAGGAGGAGGAGGGGACGCCGCAAGGCGCTGCAAGAGCAGCGAGCAGGCCATGGAGACGGTGAGAGGAATATAGGGAGACACGTGACTTTCTCTCTGCCCTGAGACATTGACTGGGCCTGCTGCAGCTGATGCCGCTGCTCTCGCCACCTCCATGGCTGCTCACTGTCTTGGGATGGAGAAAAGTTGTGTGTCTTCCCCAGCAGCCAAGGTGTGCGCAGCACTAACAAGGGCTGAAAAAAGAGGCAAGAAGAGGGGCACTTTGCTCCCACTCTGGAATATGGAGCAAGTCTCCATCCGTTGTCATCGCCCTTCTCAGGGCAGGTGAGGAGTGAGTGGGAGGGGAGAGCGAGGAGCGGGGCCAGCCACTGGTGGGATCATCCGATGGAGCCACAGGAGAGGGCCCAAAGAGCTGCATACGGCTCTAGAGCTGCACGTTGCTGACCCCTGAACTACCTTCATAGCTACCTTCATGTATTAATAGTTCAAGTTCACCCTATTTGTTCCCCAGACTTTGTGCATTTGTATAAAGGCACCTGAGATCTTTATATCTGACTCTGGGTATGCTTCCTATATCTCCTGTTTGAGTTTGTTGTTGAGTAAGTCACCTCCCACCCATACACCGTCTTCCCAGCCCCTCTGTGCTTCATCATGCTGGCTGTTTTGCACACCCACAGCACTCCTCTGACCCTCACACACCTTTCATCCACTATATCTTTCATACACACCTTTGTATGTTGTCCCCAGTCTGCATCTCATATACCCCCTTGCACACCCTCCCTGATCTGCATTGTGCTCTTGCTTACCCTTGTTTCCTCAAAGTATGAATTTATTAGGTATCCCATATTGGCACAGCTGGTGTATACCCAACTCTGAAGGACCCGAGGTTTTCCCCACCCAAATCAAACCCCAAAGTTCTTGTCCCCAGGCCACACGTCCATCACATGGTCCAATCAGGTCACAACTCCCTTTGGGTTCAGTCCACGCCTTCCCAGCAACTGGTGAGAACATCCTTGGTTCCCAGGAGAAAGAATTTTATTTTGGCTACACATCCCCAGCTATCTCTATTTCTCCCCTCCCATTCCCATAGCTTCAACCAGCCTTGCCGTGGCAGCCCTGAAGATGCTCAAAATGGCTTCAGGGCTGACAGCTAGCTTTCCTACTGTCTTTAGTTGTGAAAAGCCAGAAGGAAGTTGACTCACCAATCATGACATCCAGTGAACCAATAGTAACCTGAATTGTGCTTTACAACTTAGAGGTGAACATTCTAATCCCAATTGTTATAAATTGTGAAGTATATGTATATAACTTCATGAGTTTATTTGCTAGCAGCTGTATGTTATAAAGGCATAAATATTTGTAAATAAATAAGACATGCTTCATTTATACTATATAAAGAAGTAAAATTAAGGTTGTGGGGATATTTACTAGTAGTTGCATTTTTATACTAAATTATTCTGTAGTCCTTTAATATTAATAAGCTTTGTTTTCCCAAGAAATATTCATTGTATAAGTTAATAAGATACCAGCAGTAACTGTATTATCTCTGCAGGCATTTTGAATGTTTCAAATGGGTCCTTTGGGGTTTTTTTAGTTACAGATTGAGATAGAAATGCTATAAATATAATCACAGTTTCTTGACTAATTTAATCTTTATGAATATGTTTTCATTTTTCCCCACCCTCTATATTGGAGCATGCTGGTCTCTTTTTCAGTCATTAGATATGCCCAGTTGTGTTTACCTTCACACACTGGCTACATCATATGTCTCCTGAACATTCCAAAACTTAATATGGAATGGAGATTCTTATACTTTCTCATTCACCCATCCATTCAGATCACCTATTGCAAAAAAACAGCAAGCATTTGCAAATGGGTCTCCTGCAAAGAAGACAAAGAAAGAATCGTTATCTAGATACAAAAGTTCCAGTGAAAATGAAATCCCTCCAGTCAAAAAACAAGGTGAGGCTCGCTGGTTTATGTCTAGTGTAATATTTCATGCTTTTTTTGTTATATTACTAGTAAATGTCTCATAGTTTGATTCCCCTTTTGACTCAGAGAATGATATTTCAGCAGTAACATAGCAGATACTTGTTTACCATAATGAAGGAGTATTTTAATTTATATTTTTTATATGTTTTATATTTATATATTATATATTTACCATTAAGAAGCTTTTGTCAAATCTTCCGATTGCCAGAATACATCCAAAAGTGTTTGTTTCAGAACAGCCAAATTCAACCAGTTTCAGTTGAGAAACTACATATCTTAGATTGAAATCAGATCTAGTAATGCAAGAGAATTTCTTGATGTATGATACTTTGAGAAGCTGTGATTAGCAGACCTGTTTAGATAAGTTCCATGTCGGGCCTGTTCCAGCTCAGAACCCTAAGAAATAAAAACCCTCAACTCCATTTGGTTGAAATGACAGGTCCTTTTACTTGGTTAAGTGGTTGCAGCAAAAGGAAGGCTAAATCTTAAGATTCCTGCACAAAACATGTTCTTCCCCTGGCCCTTCCCCCTTGACTAGTCCATCTCCGTCCAATTGCAGACTGTTCAGATGTTTTTGGGAACAGAATGGATGGCTGGTGCTATGAAGCAGTTTCACATTCTGTTCCCAGGCCAGGAGTCCTTGAAGACTAATATATGCTGGTTCTCACACCTCTGGTTTCTGTCAAGGCTGTCACCCTCCTTTCCTCTCATCTCCATTCATACATTCCATTCCCCCCCCCCTTTATGACAGGATTCCAGCAAAGCGTAGAAGCAGAAGATGGCAGATCTGACACTCCATCTATTAATGCTCAAGAAAGAGAGCAAGGAAAGAAGCAAACAGAGCTAAATACACTCTTCTTACTTATTAATTAGCATCCAAATAAACAAGAGCAATCATAATTCAGTACCACCTAAAAAAAGTATTAAGGAAGGCAAGGCTTAGAATAAGCTACCATATAAAAATACCCAGGAAATTTACTCCTTCCCCCACTCACATGTTAATGAAACCTGGTAATAAAATGCTTATAAGAAAAGCAGCATGTCCAATAATCCTATTTCTTACAGAATACATGGTGGGAATTTCTACATACTTTTCTACCACAATCAATAGGGAAAAGCAAAATGGTTCCACACTGAGAAGATTTGTGCAGCATAGTGTTCTTAAGGCCATGTACAAAATGAAAATTATAAAAAGTTTTGTTCAGAGCTTGGAACAAAAAACACCATTTAGAATATCCCACTAGAATTTTTGAGTGAGTTGCAATGTGGCAATAAATTTGAAATATGTTTCATTTCCTGCCATAGAAAACACTGGGAATTTGAAACAAGCTCCTTGTTTCCTTGTGTTTCCTCCTGTGATTGGAGGTGTTTTTAACTTGTTTGACTCTTCCATTCCACTGATAGACAGGACAAAACATTTTCTTTTGTGGCTCTTAGGAAGCTTTAAAGAGCCCCTCCCTATCTGTATCAGTTGATGAAAGACAAGGGTAAACCAAAAAAGCCATCTTCATAAAGGATGAGTTCTGGGTGTCTTCATCCATAGGTATAAAACATCCATTTCATGATAAATCAGGTATTCTGTTTTCCTCCTGCATCTGCATCCTCAGTTTGGGGAACTACTTGCTGAACTAAGGAACCAAGCAACACTTGCTACAGCACTTGTCTGCTGAAAGAAATTTCAGCCAAGATCTGCAACATTTAACATTCAAAGAGTCATTTGGACCCATTTCCCACAGAAAAGAAAACACTGGGAGCCACGAAACCTCTTTTCCTCTCCCTCTCTCTTCTTCCTTCACTTCCCTTCTTTCTTTTTCTTTCTCATTGAATACGATAGCAAATCCAAACTAAAGTTGCTAGTTGTGAGAAATTGCTTCTCCGTAATCTTTTCATAGTAAACTCTTGATAGAAGGCAAGATCGTACTAACAGCAATAGCATATATATTTTGATTTCTTTTGAGTTTGACAATATAATACATTATCCAGAATTATAAATAATTTTATTTTCAGATGCATTTTTGCCATCTCTGTTATTCCCTTTTAAAAAAAATCAGACTGTCTTCCAATTTGTACCTTCTGGCAAACTGCAGTTTTCTTGGCAAGAGATCTAGCTTGCCATTGCTTTCATCATAGGTCTGAGAAAATTCTTTCTTTCTTTTTTCTCTTTCTTCCTTTTTCTCCCCCTTCTCTCTCATTTGTTTCCCTCTCTTTTCCCTCTCTCTCATTCTCTCCCTCCAGCTCTCTTTCATTACTCTCTCTCTCTCTTTCTCTCCTTCTCATTTCTGTTTTTCTCTTTTTCCTCTCCTTCTCTCATTTGTTTCCTTCTCTTTTCCTCTCTCATTCTCTCTCTCCAGCTCTCATTTCTCTCTCCCTCTCTCTGTATACCTTCTCTGTCTCTCTCATTTGTTTCTTTCCTGTCTTTCATTCTCTCCCTCCATCATTTTCTCATTTCTCTCTCTCTTTCTCTCCTCTCTCTCTCTCTCGTGCACCTACACTCATGTGCACCAGTGGGATACCCTCCTGGGCCTGGATCACAGCGGTGGTGGTAACAGCGACTTTTCCTGCCATCACTGCATGCTCAGGCGGGTAGCCGGTCGCACTGCACAGAAGAGCCGGAGCTCTTCCTTCCCTGCATCTGGCGGCGACTTCTGCTCTCCCTCATTCCAATCCTTCCTGAGCCAACACAAAGGGGACAGAATCTGGCATGGGTTGGCCCGGAATTGCAAAAAGCAGCTAGTTGCAAGCAGTGCAGAGACAACGCTAGGAGTGCTTCAGCCACATGGCTCTGCACAAAGACCTACAAGGTGTGTGGAGAGCAAGTCATGCAACCGGGTCGGCAGTGAGCTGCAGGTGAGAGGTCAAAGTGCCACATGCGACTCTAGAGCTGCGGATTGGCGACATCCGATCTATACCTTATGTTTGTAGTCCTTCACGAAGACTGGCCTGCTGTTCTTAGAGGAGAAATTAGCTAAGGTGAACATATTCATAGCAGAATGGATACTTGCGAAAGTACACTGGCTTCAAAGCAGTGTAATAGACTGGTTTTTCTCTGATAAAGTTAAGCTGCTGTTTTTATTCTTTCTACTTTCTGTATTTTGATTATAACATGTTTATATGGTCCTGTATTTTTATATATTTTCTTAAAAGTTTTACAAAGAACATAAAAACTAGCAAAAAGTAATAAAGTAGGGGGAAAGGCTTAGGGAAAAGTTCAGAAAGAAAGAAAGAGAATGTTTTATTTCCTTTGCAGCGAATATGAATACGATTACAGCTATCTTTTACTCTATGATTATAAAAGAAAGCTCACTCCTTTCTATTCATTTTTCTAATCATTAAAACCACAAATCGTGTATTTTTTCCATTTTATAGAAAAAGGGTTTCTGGTCAGTCATAAATGCAGATGTTTTTTCATTAAGAAAAATTAATTTAGCCATGTCTACAAGTTCCTTCATCCTCACCAACCATTCTTCTGTTAAGAGTTACTTGAACTTTCCCATTCTTGAGTATATGGTAGTCTTGCTGCAGTTACATATCAGTTTCATGAATTTTTTTATGCTATAGAACTAGATAAATGGCAGAAGATATGGCAGAAATTATAAACTAACTATATCAACAGCATACAAAGAAAACTTGTATAAGATGTTTTATAGATGGCACTTTGCAACAGCAAAATTAGCTAAGATGTTCAAAGATAAACCAGCCAAATGCTGGAAGTGTCATTAAATACCAGAAACATATTACCATATGTTGTGGTCTTGTATAGAAGCTAAAAAATATTGGACAAAAATACACACATGGTTGGAAAAAATGATTGAACAACATATAGACTTGAAACCTGAAATATTTTTATTAGGAATGGTACATGAAGGTTACAGCAAAGAAAAAACATATTTAATTATACATAATTATACAGCAGCTAGAATTGTATTTGCTCAGAACTGGAAAAATGACAAGATACCCACAAAAGATAAAATAATTGAGAAAATATTTGAGTGTGCAGAAATAAATAAATTAACATTGGTAATCAAAGAAAAAGACGAATCAGAATATTATATGGTATGGGATTTATTTTATCAATTGTTAGAAAATAAAACAATATGATTTAGATGATTATATGAAGCAATAAGATAAGATTGTTAAAAATGATAGATAATATTCATAAGAAAATGTGATTATTGTGATATTGGTAAGGAAAGTATTAATTATAATTGTAAGGCACAAGAGCTATGTACCTAGTCAACACACAATTGAAATGGACTGGAATTATTGTATATACAAAATAAAAAAAATGAGGGGAAAAAAAGAATAGCCCACTTAATGGTTTTTAAAATCTACATTTACTTAAACTTTATCTTATCATAAATATCTATGCCACCCAAATCTCAAATTGTGTCTTCCTAAATCCAGTAGCCTCTAATAATACCCAGTCTCATCCAAACTAAACAGGCAGCAAAACATAACTTCAAATCTGGTAGGACTGATTCTGTTTTCTTCACATATTTAACAGGCCCAACAGAGACTTCATTTCCTTAGAGTCTTGCAAAAGAATAAAGTGGAACAATGACTGATGATCTCCTTTCACCGGTCCATAATAGAAAGTATCCTCACATATTGCATTACGGTGTGGTATGTGACAGCTGCGGATAGAAAGACATTACAGAGGGTGGTGAGCACAGCACAAAAGATGGGCTGTTCTCTGATGCCACTAGATGACCTCGCTAGGGCTCACTGCCTTAGAAGAGTGAGGAAAATTCTCAGGGATGACTCACATCCCGGTCAGCACTTCTTCACTTTCTTACCATCAGGTAGGAGATATAGAAGCATAGCCAGCCGCACCAACAGGCAGAAGAACAGTTTCTACCCGTGAGCTGTCAGACTTCTGAATGGAAAATAATTTCATGTCAACATAGTATGATAAGACTTGTGGGGCAGGCGCATTGTGCAACAAGGTCACATAGTGTAATAAGATTGGGGCTGGGGGTTAGGGACTTCTGTCCTCACTGTGAGTTGTGTTGGGGGTTGTCCACGAAGGGAGGCTCAGCCAATCTCATTGTACACATGTTGTGCTCTGACAATAAAGGTGATCTTGTATTAAAGTCATGGCTTTTTTCTTTGCCATACCAATTTAGATATATTCATCTGCCATTGTTTAGATGGAACATACTGCATATTGTCGTGTATTCTTGATTTAGATTAGTGGGTGCTGGGATTTATACTGAAATTTTATTTCATCTTTATTCTAAACTTTCCATAATCTTTAGAGCTGAGTACTTCTTTAGATTTACTTTTTATGATTTATAAAATCTTAGCTGTTCACTGTCATAAAATATAGAAGCTGATCTTTGATTTTTGAGTAATAATGATCTATTGATATTATTATTTTAAATTCTAGCTGCAAAACCAGTAACTCTGCCCCCAATACCAATAAAGGCAACTCCAGGCAGTTCTGAGAGCAGCAGTGCTGATACCAGTGACTCCACAGACTCTGAGCAAGAAGGGAAGAAACCAGCAAAGGTTCGTTTTTAATTTTCTCAATATCTCTTCCATAGAGAAAACATGTGGAGTTTGTTTTTATACAAAGTGCGCGGTTGTTACACCGGTTGAATTGCACTACTGGTAATTGATTTCCAGTGGAAGGTGTATTTAAAGCACTTGATTGTTTTTCTTGGTGATAAAATTTAGCTAATACTTGAAGGCTTCTCTGGACCTGGCACAAGGAAATAATAGTGACACCATCATTGTATAATTGAATTAGGATGGATGGGTGTTAATGCTGAAGAATGAAACTTGTTACGGTTTGAAAATGATAAATGCAGTGAAGATATTTCTTGAAATACATACTCTAAGCTGGCTCAGAGATTTTATTCTGATTCTTAGTTTTGACAGTTGCTGTTAGGATAGAAAATAATTAACAAAGTTGGGGTACCCCTCGTTTCCTGTTATATACTTCAAGAGAGTTTGTCTTATACTCCCAAATTTTAGAGAATAAGTTTGAACCAAATGTGCAAGAGAAACATGGATTTCTTGAAACTTTATAGTAATAAGCTTACCTGATATCTGAGATTACAGAGAATAATATTTAGGAATAGTTAGGTGCATCTTTCAGTGACACAGCTCTCCTAAAATGATATGTGTTGAATGAAAAGAACGATAGTTTTGAACATGCTACACCCATCTGCTGTTGAAGCCTAGATCCATCCTAATTATTGTTTGACACTGATACTGACCTATCTTGACAGAAGGGAATAGTTCTCCAATCAACTATTCAAAAAACAAAGCCCCAGGAGACATCTCAGAGTTCAAGTTCGGATTCAAGCAGCTCAGAAGATGAAACTCCAAAGCACCAACCACCAAAGTCAGGAGGAGCCCCAAAAGTCGTAAAACTGGCTTCTATATCAGGTAACAGCTAACTTCAAGCTATAAGTTTCTGAATAATTCAAGCGATGTATGAAAGGAGTAAAGGAAACATTAATATATTTTGATAGAGATTTTCTGTTCCCATTTTATAGATTTTATAAAAGAAAATTTAGTCATGTTCTGGTATTGAAACGTGTGGAAGAAATCTTGAGAGGGGAAAATAGGGTAATATAAATGGCTTCTGACTCAGGCTTGCTATACATCTAGAGAAACAGCAATGCCCTCAGGTTGAAATGGAATAATTAAAAGATAAATTTGGAAGGGATCATTTTGTTTTGTTTTGTTTGTAAGTTCAGTTCCTGCTCAATGTATAAATCCATGTAATATACAAGAACAAAGTACTTACTATTGCTTATTCCTTCTGCTTAATAAGTTGAATTAGCGTTTTACAGTGCTAATGATTCATATTTTTAAGTATAGAAAATTGATTTATTTCCTTTGAACTTTTGTTGGTTTCACATTTTGCCAAGTAAGCTTGAATGCTATTTTTGTAAATGTTTTTGTAAAGATATATTGCAAAGATACACTCTTAAAAGAGAGGGAAATACTATATACAGCTACATATCTGGCTACCTGATGTTTCAATTTAATGGACATGTTTTAATCTCAACTGGCAGCAAAACCTACCCATGTGATGTCCAAAACTACCAATGGCAAAGCAGAGAGTAGCAGCAGCAGTGGTGAGATGAGTAGTAGTGAGGACTCCAGCTCTGAAGAGAATCAGCCTGTCAAAGTAAGTTATGAGTCTTTGGTATGACAGCTGCTGTAAATAGTCATTGTTTATTTTTGATGAAGATAGAAAACTAAATATCATTCTACTCAGGAAACCTGTAAAGTACATAAACTGCCAAGAATTATTTGAAATTGCAGTGTCAATAAATTTGTTAATATATAGTTAGAACCTTCCTAATTTTCACACATACAGGAAACTTAGTAGTGAGAAGAGTACTACATACATTTGTATTGTTTATATGTGTGTTCCCACTGTATATATGTGTGTTCCTGCATGCATGTATCAAATGGATATTTTGAAGACTCTTCTGCTGAAACTGGCTTACAGAATAACTTTTTAATGGAAAATAAGCCCTTCTAGAAAGCAAGCAAATGTAAGTCATCGTAAAAGTAATGAATAGCACCATTGTAGGTAAGTTTTTTAGATGAGTGCTTCATCTGGTTTATTTCATGAGTCATTCCCATGCAAGCATTGTTTGTTTGTTAATCAATAACTTTCGAATATCATCGTCTGCCATTGCCATGAGAATCTTCAAAGTATAATAGGATGTGTTGCTCTAAAAATATGTTTGAATAGAAGTTTAACCTGAGAATCTATTGATGAAGGTGTAGAAATAGACAGTCAGGTTGATGTCCACAATTTTGCACACAAAATGTTCTGTTACTTTTGCTGCCCTAGCATACCCCATCCATTAAAGTTTTATAACCTGTCACAATTCCAGCAATGGTCATTCATATAAGTCTCATGGTATCTTTTCATTTAATACGTCCCACTAAGGCGTTTGGCTGCATTTCCAGGTAAGCATGCCCAGGACTGCATTTTAATCTTCTATGTGTTCTGTGCATTGTGGAAAAAGCCAAGTGTGCATCTCATTTAAATAGATTACCAATATGGAAAATGATTTAATCCTCAGCATATTTTAATTTTTACCATCTCTTAATTCTGTCTACATATTTTGAACAGGAAAGTGTGCAGCACAGCATAAAGCCTCAATTTAATGGACCATTTGAGGAAAGGAAAATCTTTTACATTTGAAAGCTAAATTTGCACATGCTTAAAAGGCTTGTCAACACTTATGTGCATTGTATAAAAAGAATGTACTGAGCCTCCTGCCATGAACAGGACTTGGTGCTCTGTATACTATTTTGTTTTGGTAATTTCTTCCATAGCATGCAATGGTCCAAGTCCACCATTTTTGTTTTTTGTCAGTGCAGTTTATCTCTAACTTTCTTTCCCAGCCTCCAGTCCTCTTGCTATTGCTAATGCCAATATCATAGCATGACATATTCCATAGTCTGTCCTCTTGCTAGCCTGCACTCCCCCAAATTTCCCAGTGCCTACCCAGAAACATCAACAAAGCCTTGATGCCGTGGATTTTACTTTTAAAGTACAGGTAGTTCTCGAGTAATGGAGCCTGCCCATTCCATTTGTACCTTGAACGAGATCACTCCCTGCTTTCTGCCCCTGCATATGCTAACCAAATGTGCAGTTTGTTAAATGGACATGAGGTATGGGTAAGGAGGGCCATGGGGGGGGGGGCGCTAGTGATAGAACAGGCCCCCAAGGCCTTCCCAACTCACTAAGATGCTTAATGCTTCCTCCTCCCTTCTTGCTGTGCCGGACTCACTTACCTTACAAGATCTGCCTCCTCTGCCACGGTTTCTGTGCCTTGAGGGAGAGCAGAGTCAATAGAAGCATGAGTTCAGCTACCTATCCTCTTTTACAGAAGCTAGGTGTCTGAACTCTCACAAGATCACAAACCCCAGAATCTTTCGTTTTGGGCGTGAAAAGTTTTTACATTACCTTTGTCCTGCTACTCCCTCCCCCAATTCCTTTCTGCCACCACCAGAACACTTTTCACCCAGAAAAGTGAAAAGGCATCCATTCCGTTTTAAGCACCCCTCTTGCAAGGAAACGAAGCTTCCAGCCTGCACCAGTTCTCCATTCGGGTGAAAAGCGTTTGGGTGCCTATGTGACACTTAGAAACGGAATGGATGGCTCCATTTTTAAGCTCCCCTTTTGCAAGGAAACGAAGCTTCCAGCCGCTTCAGTTCTCTGTTCTTGTAAAAAGTTTGGGTGCCTATGGGATACTTAGAAATGGAGCCATTTGCTGTTAGAGTTCCAAGTAATGCACTCAAGTTCCTTGAAGAACAGTTTATTGGATACATCATTTTGGCAGAAACTTGAGAAAGCCAACTCTGAGATTTCCTGCAGCTTTCACCTAATTAAAAGTAAAAGCTTTTCCCTTCTCCCCAAATCCCTGATCACGTTGTCCAATCCAGGTGCTGGCTGGTTGCTGGGTTACTGGCACCTCCTCTAGCCAGCCACCTGTGAGAATGTCATTGGTTCTCACAGGAAATCTTTATTGTTTGGGCTACAAAACCCGCATCTAACTATTTCCCCGCTCCCACTGTGGTGTGGCAATCCTGAAGCCTCAAGATGGCTTTGGCCATGCTCACTTCAGGGTTGACAGTTGAACCACCTTAGTTGATGAGTAAAGAAATTAAATAGTGTTAATCAGCATTTGACTCACCATCACCTCCCCCTCCTGCAGGTCCCTTTGGCTTTTGAGGGTACTGGTCATGAAACTGCTTGACTAACCTGTCTGCTTTGACATCCCAGCTTTTTACCCAAGTAGATTTGGAGAGTGGATATCCCTTCCACTGTACTAAGTACTGCAATCTCCCCTTGTATCGACTAGAACCTAAAATTTTCTTTACCTTGTAGTATGTCTCCCCTTGCACTATGATTGGCCAGTCTACTGGTCTCAGCTGGGATCCTATCACCAGGTTTAAGAAGCTGCTGTGAAAAACCGGATGCACTTTCCCCAGCAAGCAGGGAAGTTTCAGCTGCACTGTAACTGGGTTGATTACTTTCACTATCGGAAAAAGCCCTACAAACTTTGATCCCAGCTTCTTGCAGGGGAATTTCAGCCTTAAGTACTTCATTGAGAGATACACCTTGCTCCCAACATGGAAATACTTTTGGGGGGCTCTGATTTTATCGGCTTGCACCTTATGGGTTTTGTTGCGCACTTTGTGTTTTCCCAGGCTTTAAGACTCCATCCATTTGGTTGGGGACATGGAGGAGGGTGGCATGGGAACAAATTCCATGCCACTGGTAACCTGAAAAGGGGTTAAGCCGGTGCTGCTATGCACCGTGTTATTGTATGCCACTGTTGTGGCCTGCCAGCGGCTGGCGGCAGACTCAGACAGTGAGGAGGTTGGGGAGGAACATGGGCCAGTCCTGGAGTCTGTGGAAGGCTCTGGTGAGTGCTCTGCAGGTAGAGATGGGGCCAGGGCTGTCTGACAGTTATCCGCTGCCTTCGGAGTCAGAGATCAGTTGGGCAGAAGAACAGCTGGAGCCTGTTCCTGATGTGCGCATGCGCAGAGCTGTCAGGAGAAGGGAACAGTTAAGGAACAAGAGTCAACTTGGAAGTAAAGGCACAGCTGGACAGTGAATGGCCACTCTCATAAGTAATAAATAGGAGCGAAAGGAGAGTGGTGTTTGCAGGAGACAACTAGTTCATTTAATTAGTGTGAAGATTTGTTTATCTGAGTTTGTAACTCACTTGCCAAGTATTTTCTTGTACAGCATTGCACTTAGAAGCTATCAGCCTGACAACTCTCCGAGCCTGATAAGGTATGTGGTTGCAATTCACCCTTGAAAGACTGTTTGCCGGAACTTTGCTGGATGTGAATGATAGGAATTCACATTAGCCAAATAAAAAGTGGTTGTCAACTGTTTTGTGGTTTTGTGAAGTCTAGGTCAGAACCTTGACAAAAGGCAGTTAGTTCTGCTCAATTGGTTTGTTGATAGTTTACACAGCACTTTAAGTATTGTTCCAGCATCACATCTACACTTTCCACGGCCCCGTTAGTGCTCGGATGGAATCCAAACTGAGCCTTTCCAAGGACCCGATGGACTTTATGATCTCCCTCCAGAACTTTGCTGTGAATTGGACTTCCCTGTCAGAAATAATTCTGCGGGGAACCCTATGTTAGCTTATAAATGTGTTTAACAAATAGTTTGGCTAGCTTGCGTGCAGATGGGAGACCTGAGCAATCTATAAAGTGGGCTTGTTTGGAGAACAAGTCAATCATGGTCCAAATGACCATGTTACCCCCACTTTCAGGGAGTTCTATGATGAAGTCCATAGCAATTTCCTTCCATGGGCGGGAGGGATCCGGCACCTGTTATAGCAGCCCTGGGGGCCTCCCTGATCTCCTTTTCATACCTGTGCAGGTGGCACAGCTTTTTACATAATCTTCAATGTCTTTCTTCATTTCTGGCCAACAAAATTGCCTTCTTGCCAAGGTTTTTAGATAGTCGAAGTGTCCCGCCTCCATGGGGTCATGGCTCCTTTGGAGTACTTGGGGGTGTTGTGGACCTATAGTTTGAATCCTTTCCATGCTAGCCCATCTCTGAGGGTTAGCAAACCTGGGTTATCTTTATACTATGGGTTGCTAGGCAGTTCATTTTTTAACTTTTGTGTTAGTGCTTCACTGTCTCCCATCCTCTGCCACTGCCCTTGTCTTCAGGTGGTGGCCTGAGAGGCTGGTTGGGAGCATGGTGTGAACCACCTCCTCCCATTTGCTGTTGTATTGGGGCTTTTGTGACAATGCGTTGGCTAGTAGGTACTTCCCCCCAGGGATGTAGTTCATCATAAAATTGAAGCGATTGAAGTATTGTGCCCACCAGACCTGCTTGGGGAAAAGTTTTCTTGGAGTCCTAAATGCCTCCAGATTTTTGTGATCAGTCCATACTTCACCTAATTAAAAGTAAATAAAGTAAGTCCCCGGTCACGCTGCCCAATCCAGGTGCTGGCTGGTTGCTGGGTTACCAGCTCCTCTGGCCAGCCACCTGTGAGAATGTCCTTGGCTCCTACAGGAAAACTTTATTGTTTTGGCTACAAAATCCCATCTAACTATTTCTCCCCTCACACTGTTGTGTGGCAACCCTGAAGCCTCCAAGATGGCTCCTGCCAGGCTCACATCAAG